ATTAATTGTCTAGCTTGCTCCCCATAGCAAATCGGGGTAGTAGAAAAGGCAGGAATTATTATTGTCCCATTTTAGATGGCAGACACAGAGAGGTTAGTTGACTTGTAAGGGTCAACAGAGTGTGAAAAAGGCAAGATTCAAATGCAGGTCTGTGTCGCTCCAAATTTCTTGCTTCTTCCAGTCCCCTAGGAACATAGCAGGTGTGTATGTACAGGGTGGTAGAAAGGGAGGTATACTTGTGAGTGTGACCCAGGCTGATGAGACCACATCCACCTGTTCTGGAGAGAGGAGATCTCTCTTCCAGAGGTGGAGGTGTTTGCCAGAAAGTTAGGGCTTCCAAAATTGAATCACAGCTTAAAATGCACAGAGGTTATGGTCAATAATAATCCAGATTATCACAGCTAAAGTCCTCACATCTCTGGAGAAAGCCTCCTCTGCAGCTCTCCCAAGCTAATCTCACATCCTCATTATTCCTCTGATTATTCCTATCATTGTGGTTTTCAGAGGTTGATCATTCCATTAGTGCTTTTCTCCAGAGCTCAGAATTCCTTCTGATAACATCTACTTTGTGTTCTGCACATTTCCTGGGGTGAAGGAAGGGGCAGAAACAAAGCTGATTGTTTCTTATATTATGAAGAGAGAAACTGAGGCCCAGAGGGGCCTTGTCCAGGTCCACACATCCTGACTGATTCAAGGGGTCCTGGTCAGGAACAGGACTCAACGACCAGCTGTTGCCTTCTGTCAGGCAGGAACGAATGACTGGGCAGCTGCCAACTATTCCCCTGGGCAGGCAACTTGCCCAGGCCCTGGCATGAGTTCCTCAGAAGTTCTGTCCACTCTGGGAGGGCTGGGAGGCACTGTGGATCTAAACCGAGCCCCGGTCCAGGAGGAGGGAGGGAGGGGAAGCAGCTGTCTTTGAAGAGGAGCTATGGAGAGGACTGCCAGCTAGTTGGGTCAGGAACCTGCTAAGCCAAGATGTGGAGGGAGAGAAGGAGAGAGCCAGAGTTTTCTAAAGGAAAACCTAGAGCTATTTTCCTCTTAAACTTTTTTTTTTATAAATTTATTTCCTTCTTATTTATTTATTTTTGGCTGCCTTGGGTCTTCGTTGCTGCCCGCGGGCTTTCTCTAGTTGCAGAGAACAGGAGCTACTCTTTGTTGTGGGCTTCTCATTGCGGTGGCTTGCTCGTCTTTGCTGTGGAGCACCGGCTCTAGGCCCACGGGCTTCAGTAGTTGTGGCTCGCGGGCTTAGTTGCTCCACGGTATGTGGGATCTTCCCGGGCCAGGGCTCGAACCCGTGTCCCCTGCATTGGCAGGCAGATTCTTAATCACTGCACCACCAGGGAAGTCCCTCCTCTTAAACATTGGTCTCTAGGCACGTGAGCTTCAGTAGTTGTGGCACGTGGGCTCAGTAGTCGTGGCTCACGGGCTTAGTTGCTCCACGGTATGTGGGATCTTCCCGGGCCAGGGCTCGAACCCGTGTCCCCTGCATTGGCAGGCAGATTCTTAATCACTGCACCACCAGGGAAGTCCCTCCTCTTAAACATTGGTATCTAGTATTTAGTGATCCAGCAGGTCTGGAGTGGGACTCAGGAATCTGAATTTTTAACAAGTGTCTCCAGGTGATTCAGTGCAGGTGTCCAAGAATCACATTTTTTTAAAATGAAATCTACAATTGACTTTAATGTATGTCCCTAAGTAAGAACTTTTTCTTTTTCTTTTATTTTCTTTTTTTTGGCCGTGAGTCGTGCGGGATCTTAGTTCTCTGACTAGGGATCAAATCCATGCACCTCAATTTCCTCATCTGTAAAATAAGGATGCTTATAATAGTAGCTTTCTCATAAGGAAACTGCAAAGATACAATAACATAATTTATGTGAAGCACATACATAGTGCATGTTAATGCCTCAGCAAGTATTAACCATTATTATTTGTTCCAATTCCTCCTTCCCACCTCCACCCGCACTCCCACCAGAGGAAGATACAAGTCCCTATTGGATTAATATAGGGACTTGTCACCACAGTATTGTTTTGGATGTGGGTAGTCTTTGGACCTTGCTTTGAGGATTCCTGCTCCAAAGCCATTCTCCTCCCATCACTCTTCTGATACCCTTGCTGTGGATAATTTCTTTCCAATAAACTACCCTGCCTTTCTCATCTCTCTTTCCTTCTCAGTCTCCCCACCAATGGCAAACAGCCCTCCTTCACATCATCCAAAGTGATTTGGCTCAGGATGTGTCCTGGAAAGTAAAAACATACAGCAAGTCAGTTGTGGAGCTGCAAGTAGGTCCCAGGATTCCTGAAGATCACAGAATTTGGTGCTCTGGGACTTCTGAGTAAGCTTCATAGGCGGTCAGGGAACTCAATCCCCCTGCTCCCCTCATTTTAACCATGGATACACACTGTCTTTTTGGGAAATAGACATATCCTGTACAGAGGTATGGTTGAAGCCCAGGGTGGGTGTGTAGGCAAAGAAAGCCCTGTTCTGCATAAACTCTTGCAGGCACTCGCAAGCAGAAATGGAGTGGGGAGAGGTGAGGATGAGATGAAATAATCCAACCAAGGACACAAAGGGAAAGCAGAGGAAGTCAACTTTCGAACACAATAGTGGTGCTAGTTTTCAGGTTCCTGGACCAGGGCTAACCTCGGATGCAGAGAAAGGCAGGGTCAGTTCTCTGGGTGTCTGAGCTTGTCTCCTTCCAGACGCTCAGCCCTTCAAAGAACCCCTGCTTCCTGCCTTCCCCTGTCCTCCCAGTGCAGCTGAAATGGAGAAACCCCAGGGATGTGCTGGAGGAAGGGATGGCAAGATTCTCCCTGGAGAACAAATTGGCACACCTGGGTTTGACTCCAACTTGGCCCACGGTGTCCTTACCAACTGGTGCTCCTCAGAGCTTCCTACCCCAAAGCAGAGCCACATCTGGCCTATCAAAATCCACCTATTAGTCAAGGGCACCATGTGCCATGTCATAACTGCAACCTTCTGACACCGTCCCCCATACACATACATGCACTCTCTAGGATTGCCAGATAAAACAGAGGATAACCAGTTAAACCTGAATTTCAGATAAACAATGAATAATTTTTTAGTATAAGTATGTCCCAAATGTTGCATTGACACATACTTATACTTAAAAATTATTTGTTAATCTGATATTCAAGCTACCGTACTAGATTTAGCAACCCTTCTCGATGCTCAGCCCTTCAGCATCTCCCTCCCCCAGGCTCACTGCAGGACTTTGCCTGAATCTGTAGCTGTGTCCATCTGTTCTGTCCTTAGCTGAGAACCTTGGTTCCAGTCTGCCCGCTAGACTGAAAGCTCTCTGAGGGTAAGACCCAGGCCTTGTCCACCATCTCCATTCCAGGCAGAGATGCTCCCTGTAGATGTGCACAAGGGCACCGGCAGAGAGGGGGCATGAATTTACAAAGAAATCCACCCTCAACTCTGCCTGCAGCAGAGCCCTTGCCGGATTGTGTTTGAGCCCTTGAAGGGCGCCTTTTTCTCATTGATCTGTCCAAACGAGCGCCTGTTTCTAATTGGTTCGCCCAGAATGAGTGTCCCGTTTTCATTGGCTAGTTGTGAGGTGAGCGTGGCATATTTCCAAACAGTCCGCCCCAGGAACGCCTATTTCTGAGAAGTCCAATCAAAGAGGCGCCTTTTAAAGATTCCTCAGTCCAAATAGCGCCTTTCTCTAACAACACAAAAACATCTTGTGCACTACTAAGGCCCTAAGGCTTCGGATAAGAACACTGCGTTACATTTGCTTAACGCTTTATAGATTCCAGGTTACCTTTACACACATTAACTCATCTAAACCCCACATCGACCCCCAGAGGTGGGTATCATTTTGCCATTTGCCTTTTACAGGTTAGCAAACAGCCTGGAAGAGAGACAGCAACCCGTCTGCAGTCACTAAGGCGGATAATGAAAACAGTTTACTTTTGCTCAGTACGAGTTTGACTAAGCTTTTCACGTAAATCATCTGTCCACCCTTACTAGGACTGTGTGGGATATATAAAGCCAGGCACTTTACACTCATTTTCTCAATCTTCATGCAACTCTGGAAACTAAATATTATTCATTATCATTTCATTGATGAGAAAATTGACGCTCGAAGTAAATTCTTTGCCAAAGGTCACACAGCTGCAGTCTACCTTTTACTGATATAAAATGCAGACTGCATGATGCCAGGTACGGTGCTCAGTTATTTACAGGTATTCTCTCATTAAATGTTCCCTATTATCACTTGATGTCGGTATTCTATTATCCCCATTCACTGCTGAGAAAAATAGGTTCAGAGAGGGTGAGTGACTTGCCCAAGACCACACAGCCAGCAGGTGGCTGAGACAGGATTCACACGGCTAGCAAAGAAGCAGATCAGGAGCTCAAATTCAATTCTTCTGACCCCAGCCCAGGGCTCCTTCTCTCACACCTCAGGGCCTCGGTCTCTGCCAGCCCGGCTGAAACCATCAATGACCCTCGGGTAGGCCAGAATCCCTCTTCATCGAAGCCTTAGGTAGCCACAACCGCCAGGAGAAGACGTTTCCTCCCCTGTCCTCCCCAGAGAGATCCGGATCGACTGGAGGTGGCGGACTAGAGGACGGGTTCGCAAGACCGCTGGCGCGGGACGAGGCCACACAGCCTGCGGAAGAGGCTCTAGCAGCGCCGCTTGTTCCAGGAGCCAAGGCGTGTGGGTGGGGCCGGAGTGCCGGGGTCCCGCCTCCTCCTCTCTCTTTCTCCTCCCTCCCTCGCCTCTAGGTCCCTGGGCCCGCGGACCCGCGGGCAGGCACTACCGGGCTGGACGACCTCGACCCGGCTCCCGGCGAAGCGCCGCGGAGGAGCTGCCCGGCGCGCGGAGCCCGGGTACGGGCGAGCCCCTGCAACCTTCCCCTCGGCGCTGGGCCGGCGCAGAGCTGGAGCATCCGCGGGGTCCCCGGCACGGCGGACCGACGGCCAGCTGCCCCGCGCCCCGTGCCCCGCGCCCAGCTGCAGGAGCGGTGGCGACATGGCCGCGCGTGTCGGCCTCCTGCTGCGCGCCCTGCCGCTGCTGCTGTGGGGCGGTCTGCACGCCCAGCTCGCCCAGCGCGTAGGCCAGGAGCTGCGCAGGGAGGCGGAGGTACGCGGTGTGTGGGGGGCGGAGAGGGTCCGCGTGCTGGAGACCCGCCCGAACTTTGCAGTCAGGCCACCCAGCCGCCCCATCGGAGCTGACCATCGGCGTGACCCTCCCTTGTCCTCCTCACCCTTCGCACTTGCACACAAAGAGCCTGGGGCAGCATTCTCTCCCCTCCCACCCCATCACCCTACCCCACCCCCGAACCCCAAGCCAGGGCTGGAACCACACGGGCAGGCGGATCTGCCCTGATTTCCCAGGACAAGGGGAAGGGGCAGCGAAAAGATAGGATAGACATGCAAGAACTGAGGGAGAGGGAACCCCTGCACCCCAGTTTAGCGGGGAGCCACTGTCCCTCACCACCTAGTCTGGGAGACTTAGCAGTTCATTCATCACACGCCCTCCCCAAGTATCGGGCGCTGCAGAGACTCCCAGATTGCTGGCGAGAGCGTACTGCTGTCTGGCCCTGGCCGGGGACACGGGAAACAGCTCTGGCTTCCTGAGCCGGTGCTGCCCCTGACCAGCTGGGGCTAGTGAGCACCCAAGCTCAGAACTTTCTGCATCTGTAAAATGGGTGAGAGCAGCACACACTCTCTCTCTCCCCCACCTTTTTTTGTTTTGGCTGTGCTGTGCGGCTTGTGGGATTTTAGTTCCCCGACCAGGGATTGAACCCATGCCCCCTTGCAGTGAGAGTGCAAAGCCCTAACCACTGGACCGCCAGGGAATTCCCAAGAGTAGCATACTCTTAAGAGTTGCTTCTAAGGAGCTTTAAACAGTGCTTCAGGACTGAACTGGAGAAAAGCGGGTGGGGAAGTGGAGGTGACCCTTAAAGATTTCCCATTTCATTTTCCTCCTTTGGACTCAACTGCTTGGTGTAGGTTGCACAAGGGGAATTTTTGTGAGGTGGGGTTAGAGGTGAACTTGGGACATCTACTTTCTAGATATAGGTGATTGTAATAATACACCAGTTTCATTTCTTTCTTCCCCAAAGGGACATCACTGTCTGTGTTCTTATCCCTTCTCTGGATTAGAAACTGGGGTCACACTATTTTAAGGAGAAGGGAGGCAAATAAGTTTTAAATGACTGAGCCCAGCACTTTGGAGACTCTTA